CCCCCCCCCACCAACGTCCCTCTCTCCGGCTTTCTATTCCCTGATGGGCGCTCGGGAGGGAGACATCGAGTGGCTTCCCGCCTCTTTTCCCATCCATGTTAAGGAGGCGACCACCCTTAAAGACCTCGCGGCCGTGATCGCTCTTCCTTTCCGGTACGTCCCTTGGACCTTCCCTCTTCCTCCCTCCTCCCTACCTCGCTTCCTCTTCCCCTCCCTTCTCTATTTCTTTCCAGTGCAATCCTTGGACCTTCCCTCTTCCTCCCTCCCTGCCTCGCTTCCTCTTCTCCCCCCTTCTCTATTCCTTTCCGGTGCATGCCATTGGTTCCGTTGACTCTCCTTCTGCCTCGCTCTCTTCCTTGCTTTTACCCTTCCTCGTCCTTCCCCTCTTTCTCTTGCCTCGCTCCCTCCTTCAATGCAGTCGGAGACTCCTCATCCCTGACCTTCCTCGTCCCTCCCTCTCTCGCGCCCTCCCTCCCTCCCTCCTCCCTCCCTCCTCCTTCTGTAGGCAAAAACACCTGTGGTTTGTCGAGCAATTAGCCGACCGTGTCCAGCGTCCTTGGAGCGAGGGGCATATACGGTAATGTCCTGCTTCCCCTCCTCCCTCCATCCCTCTGTCCCTTCCTCCGTCCCTCCCTCCGTCCCTCCCTCTTCCCCTCTTTTCTCCCTTCACTTCGTTGTACCAGCCTTTCCTCCACCCCCCACCAGGCGCAGTCTTTTCTTTTCACGTAAAATACTTTCTTGCCTCCATCGCTCCTTTCCTCAACCCCTCCCCCTCCCTCCCTTCCTCCCGCTCCCCCTCTCGTCGCCGTTCATCTCCTCTTGTCCAACGTCGAGCCTCGTCAGAGAGCCTATTACACCCTAACTTCTCCTTACCTTAACCCATATCTTAAGCTCTCTTTCCCTCACCTTTACCTCTCTTCCCCTCACCTGAAGCTCCTTTCTCGCCACCTTAATCTACCTTCCTCTCGCCTTGACCCTGGCTCCTTGACCCTCTCCCTTACTTTTGCGCTACCCGTCC